AGAAGCAACTGCAAAAAGCATAATTATCCCTTCGAATATAATTTATTCAAGCTGGTATATGGCTCGCAAGACCTCCCAGACAATAGATGGGCGGTGATAAGGGGGGAATATAAATTTACCAGAGAACATTAGATGTGGTTTAGACTAGACGAAATGCGTTATTTGTCTTATTTATCCTTGATCCTTGCTAATACTCTATTATTTTTTAATGGCGCTTCGAGCGGAGGGGTAAGGGGTCCGGAGAAGGAAGGAAGGAGGAAGCAAACGTATGATAGATGTTTCAACGGGAAGCACGTTCTAACTCGCCCCAGATCCATACGCTTCTCGCTTTACGTTGAGGCTTTCTGAGCAGAAAGGGGGAGCAGGGGGCCGTAGCCCCCTGAGACAAAAAAATTTGGGGGGCCGTAGCCCCCCCCAGACAAAAATTTTGGGGACCGTAGCTTTGGTTAGGGGGAGCCCCCCCCCACTTTTTGGTGTCGAAAATATCGCTAGCGCAGCATGAAAATAATAATTGACAAGATATCCAATATCGCGATCTTTTCCAAGTCCTTTTATCAGCATCGCGAATTTGGCGAAATGATATGTTGTCCATGTTTTTGAACATCTCTGGCTTGTGTTCGAGAAGCTTATCAACTGCAGCAATTCTCTATTTAACTAGACAGCTTGTATATAGGGAGTTGGACGATTTAGTTTTGTCTGTTGGAACCCAATCGAATGCTAAGCTGAAAGATTTTAGACTGTGCCGGGAAAATTAAAGTACATCACAAATCGCTTGCGGACACGTAGACACACTCGAAACTTTTAAGATTTCAAAGAGATTTGCTCGTGCCGACGAACAGCGAAAACAGTGGAAAATTTTAGTTAGGGTATGCGCATGGCTGGATGAAAGATAAGCCCTCGCGACCTCTGTTCTGATACACCAGAAGCAAACAAAATTCTGGAACATCGCGGTGCACGAGTCTCTCTGTAAAGTGATCTGGTGACGACCACCAACTTCCTCCCTAGTCCTCCTCATTCATGGTAACCAAGATGGCTCAGCTCCGGAAGAGGAAAATTCTAAAGAATTAGATTCATGACCAGGGGATTGGCATTCATCTGGAGTTTTCACCCATCAGCCTATTTCGTAGTAATCGAGTCATGAAAGGAAAATGTGCCTAAATCCTGAGCAATTTTGTCTCGATCGTGGGGCTAATGTAGTTATTTCTGGAAGACGCAATCATCGCAAACCTGCCGCTGCGGTCGTCGAACTCGATGGAGCATTTGAAAGTGCATCTGTTCGCTTGGTATTCCTTGACTTTCAACGCAGACCTTTCTCGAGCGGTGGTATTTGACACTATATTTGGACCAGTGTTCTGCCTCTTTGATTTTTTCGTTCGGATTCTAGGGCCGGTAAGCAACTAGCCAACTTGCATTGTACCAAGGGGGGTGATGGGATGGGGAGATAGAGTGTTTGGTTGGGGGAGGGGTTAGTTTTAAAGATAACGCTTNCGGGAAACTTTGGGCCATTTAACCTTCACCCAGTTTAAGATAGGGACGGACACAGTAGACTAATGGTTGATAAATTCTAGGAGGGTGGCGAAGGAATTAAACAGTATAAGGGACGCTTGGTTAAGCCCTAAATGGAAACGTGACAAACGTAAATGCAAATTGAGGTGCAATTTGAATTTTTCCCTTTTGAATTTGCAGCGCAGGAAATACCGTTTAAAATGCATGTGTTTCGTAAATTTTTCAAAAATTCGTGCATGAAACGTGATCAGGACCTCCCCTCCACTCAGGGCTCCTAGATGTGTTCAATCTTGAAACTGTCCCCCCTCCCCTACATCTTATCCTTTCCTTCCCCCCCTCAATCCTTAATTGTTACACCTCACTGAGGATTTTATGATTCCCAAGCATACAAGGTTCATTTTTTCTACACTGTTTATTTCAGGCATTCCTTTTAGGCGTGATTGGTCTGACTACATCCGTGGTGGTGATTTATTACGCATACTTGTTGCCTGTTATCCGAGAGTACAGCACACCCTGGGTTGCCTTCCATTTAATAACAGCTCACTGGCTTTTGATCAACATTGTTTTTCATTATTTCAAAGTTGCTTTCACATCTCCAGGACTAGCTCCTCAGGTAATTGATATTATTGATTATTAACCTTTTTCACTCCTGAGATCTGATTGTTAATTCTCCCCTCTTGCTATTGCACATTTCCTTATTAATTATCGGTAGTTACAAGAATTTGAGATTAGGTCAAGGTAACAACTTCTATCTAATAAGTTTTGAGTATTAAATCTTGTTACCTGTTTGCTAGACACTTTGTGGATAATTATTACAAGAAGAAGTTACATGAGTTGTTAATCAGTGTTAGAGGACCATAGGGGTCCACCTGTTGATTTAATTTTGTTGATGCTACTCTCTCTCTCTAATTATCAAAGTATTTGTATAAAGTTGGTCTACCATTGAAGACTAGCATTTATGTAGAGTAGTGCCCGGTGTTGTGGTCTATCTTTGTGTAGTGTCTATCAAATTGATGGGGGGTACTGCGTCTTTGAACATTGTATAGAAAGGGCGCAATATAAATAATGAATTCATTCATTCATTCATACCTTAGTTATTATTATAAGTGTTTTGTTGTTTAGTATCACTGAGTATTTTTACAAGTTATGCCGTATTTTGATGAGCCCATAGGGCAAGTCAAAATACAAACAGTGAGTAAAAATACCCAGTGGTACTACACAACAAAATGCATAATAAGAGATTTATTATCCAATGCACTAAATTGTTATTGCAGTGTGGGTGAATTTCATGGATATTTATCTACAGTTCTCTGGAGTACAAATATCGCATGATATTTGTACTCGATTCATGTGTTACTTGTATTCTACACTGTACAGTTGGATAATAAAATTCATTATCCATGCAGGTGAATTTGATTAAGTAACAAAATGTACAAATGACAAAAACTGAAGATGAATATCTTAAGTTACTTCTTTATTTCTATATTTTGTCAGGAAACCAATGTAGAAGATCTGAAAAGTGGGAAATACACCTTATGTAAAAAATGTAAGCCAGAGACCATCATTCATTATTAAACAGCTATCTCAAAGCACAATAAAACTGACATTAGTAGCAGTCATGCTCTTACTCAGGTTGCTACATGTAGGTGTGTTTTGATAAAACTAAAACTACTAAATGCAGTTCTAATATTTCAACTTTGTGTATAATTTTATAAAGTAAATAAAGTAAATGAGTAACCAGAATTTGGTGTTGGACCAAGAGAGTTTCTACCTGATAAGTTCAGTATTCTCATTACCTCTATATGCTGGATGAGTTAACATTGGATATCTTAGGGAGAAGTTATGTGTTAATCACTCCTCAGAGGGTTAAAAGATGCATGTTCTTTTTAACATAAGAATTAGAAATTTTCGTTTGGGAAGAGCAGAGTCTGGCATTCAATATATTAATTCTTTTCTTTAGTTGAGATAATGTAATTTTTTTTACTGGTTTTGATTTAATTTATCATTATAATGTAGGCATTCGAATAAAACCACCAAGATCACACCACTGCTCAATTTGTAAAAGGTGAGTGAAAATGATTCTACCACACTACATGTGTTCAGTCAGTAAGTGTCATCATATTATTGCATAGGGTGCTTTTAAATAAGTGTATTAAAACCGAAGCAAAGTTACAACAGCAGCCACTCAGAGCAAAGGAAAATACCCTAGAGCCAATGAAAACTCAAAGCCAAAGAAGCAAACTGTTTAAAACGCAGAAAATGCTGGAGACTGAATATAAGTTGGATATTAAGTGACTATTTTAGTGAATTAGTTGAGAGGGACTGGCACTAGTTTTCTGGACTAATCACAAAGCAAAATGAAGAAAAACTAATGCAATCTTGAATTACTATAATTATTAGGACTCAATTGAAAATTTGTCTATACCAATAGAGCCACCTTATTTAACCATGGAACCATTTTTTTTCCCTTTATGAAGGTGTGTTTTGAAAATGGATCACCATTGCCGTATCCTTCACAAATGTATTTAATTGATTAATTTTGTAATACAGGCATGATGTTAATCGTAGTTATGGGATGGCACAATTTATGGTGAAATTTAGGATTCTGTGAACATCAGAAGAGTTCAAAGAATGGGGAATTGTGTTTGAGGAAAAAGCCAATTAGGCATGAGAAAACTGGACTACAAACAACAGCAGTAACCAGTGTATGGTCTTTAGGTTTTTTTGGTATGTTCTAAAGTTACTACTGCATCTCTTTAGTACATATCAATAACACAATGATTACAATTATCTTATGCTTCAATTGTAATTATATTTTTCTTACTTGCATACCAAGATTGCATTTTTTCACTTTTTCCTTGACCTTATTTGAAATAAATTAGCCTGGATTAATAATTGTGTTGGCCATTTCAATCACAGATATTTCATATCATTCTGCTTTTTTATGTGTCTTGGGACAATTTATGTCACAGTTACTTCCAGAAATCTTTTCATCAAACACTTTTTCCATGACTTGGTAAGCCCTCTTAAATCTTATGCTGTTATTGATAATAAAGTGTTCCACGGCATGCTTTCTGTTAAGTCTACATGATAGAATTTGATATATGCAGTTACCCTTTGTTAATTTCTAAAGATACACGAGCATTTGTTTTGTGTTTATGAAAGTGTGCAATGTGATTGCTGTATTGAAATCCGGCTGTTATGATGACTTACTCAATGGTGAATCATATGATTTTTTATTACACGACTTGGGAAGTCAGAGGGCCAATAACTAAAATCAACCAATCAAAATTCTCTATTGCCGGCCAATATTCTCTCAGTATTGGACCAGGCACTGTCCCGAATGGTCCCGAATGATACCGCACTTGTGTCCCTTTGAACCTCAGTCGTGTAATAAATCTCTTATTAACCAAGCTTGCTCGGGATCGTACTGGAAGAATATTGGCCCTCGGTCTTTTTTGTACAGACCTCGCTGCGTTCGGTCTGTACTGTCAAGACCTCGGGCCAATATTCTCCCAGTACAGCCCTCACACTTGGTTAATAAAGATATATGTACAAAATATATTTTGCTTGAACAGATGATAATTATTCATGGTGACAAATCAATGTTATACTAGCCATGTGATCAAGAACTTGTCAGTCAGTTCATTCATGGTCTAATGGTATTATGTCGGGAATAGGTTTTCGCCGACAAAGAAGCTCACAATTTCTTGATATTAACAGTTTTAATAGCCCAGCACTCAGCCTAGCTGTCACAATTCTTTTTTTTTTTTCAACTCTCTCCCTCTCTACTCTCACACACTCCCACAACTCGTCTTTTATATCAAAGGACTCAAGGTTCAAACGGGCGAATTTGATGTCTAGCTTTCATCACCGGAAAACAGAAACTTGCATAACGCAACTCGCAGTCACAACAGTATTACGTTTCTCTGCCAATGACATCGCAATGACTTTGTGCTCTCCTTAATCAGTGAATGATATGTTTTTCTTCAGCTCTCTTTTCTTCCTTGATATATAGAATTACAGGCTTGTTTCAAGTTTTAATGTCTCCAATGGGAAAAATGCCACTCTCTTGATGTCAAAACTCATTTTAGATAAGTTACATGTAAGTTATGTAAACTATTAAACATTTCAAAATACAGTCATTACCATTGTCTTTTCCCATTCTCCCACCCCACACCCAAAGGGGTGTAGCCCACTCAGGGGAGGGCTGGGGTGGAAAGCAGAAAGACTCTGGTTGTGGAATTGTCATAACATCAAGGCAGACATTATGTAGGCCTGATAACTGTACTAGCCAATGCTTGACAAGCTGGTGCCCATTATGCAACTCAAACTTGACTGTTAGCACAAGACTTTTGATGTTAGTTTCCAGAAAGCAACTAGTTTGGGCCTCTTAATGTTCTTTTTTGTGCTCAGTTACCAATGATAAACCCTTTAAGAGTGACTGCATTATTTTAACAACTTATTTCTCCTTACAATATCACCCCTGAATCATGAAATGATCACCAACTTGAAGAAGCTCTTGATTGTTTACCAAATTCTCCTTGTCAGCACCTAAGGGAATGTATGAAGAACAGTATGGAGAATGTGCATTTACTGAGACAATGTGGTAAAGGGTTGAATGACACTTCTGAAATGTCTTTTTCTAGCAGTTGTCTACATTCAACTTTTGATCATGCACAACAAGGATTATGTTTCAAGCTGATTGTAACATCTTCACTGTCTAGGCAAAATTGCCTCATCTGGTGGCTGAAAGAAAGAATTGCAGTCTTTCACTGATATTCCCGAAACAAATGAAATAAGGTTAACTTTTTGTGTTACCATCTTTTTCTTCAGCTCAAAAATTTGAACCATAAAGAAGATGGTGCTTCAGAGTCCGAACACAATAGCATTCTGTATGTTTTTATACTTTGCTCTGCTGTTACGCTGGCGCTAGGAGCACTGACTGGATGGCATTGTAATCTTATCGGCCGCGGGGAGACATCTATTGAATGGCATTCTAATAAAGAAGAAGCTAGAATTTACAGGAAACAAGGCTTGGTAAGAAGAGTTTAAAAGTTGCAACCACAATTATTACTAACAGTTTTAATTTAGTTTTTTTTTATTCTTGGATAATTTTCTGAGTCATACTCTGTACTTCAGAGATGAGAAGGGAGAGAGAAAAATTGAATGATGTAGAGAAAAAAAAGGACAATTAAGTCTTTAAGGATGTAGAAAAGTTGCACAGTTGAGTTCCAATACATACGTGAAAATGCCATGGCTTGACATCTTCTTCCCTATATTAAATATTCCTTGTTCCTTTGTAAAGAAATATTCATTGTGAATTGAGTGTAAAAGTTAATTTTGTTTGGAATTCAAATTCCAGGTTTTCAGGAATCCTTATGACTTTGGTGTTTGGAATAACTGGAGAATTCTTCTTGGACTTGTTGAACGAAGGTAAAGTGGACTTATGTGCCCTGTATATTTAACTGCATCTGTTCAATTTACTGGGAAATCAGCAGCTGTTTTGGAAGTGCAACAATAACTGCATTCAAGAATATTAATGCACCAGAAATTCAATCAAGCTTCCTGGTCAATGAAGTTATGTATGACATACAAACCTCTTACTAAATGAGTTTAAGGTCCACCCTGTAAGTTACATGTTCTGACTGAGTTTTTTCTGCTTAGATTCATATGGCCGAAGCATGATGTGTGCAGGCCATAAATGCAAGCAGAAAAAAATTAGGTTCCCTTACTCACTGTACCGGCTGTAAAATAGGTGGTTATTAATATATTTATTAAATAGAGGGGACGAATTACAGGTCAAACAAAATTTTGAATTTAACAGGCTGTACAGATAAAAAACAGCGAGCTAAATTGACCAATCCCCTGAGTGCATGTACGAACTGAAAGATATGGTATTATAATTTTATAGTTCTGTATGAATTCACTCTTTGACCTTTGTTTCAGGTCATGGCTCAGGGTTCTTCTACCTTCAGTACATCCCCCTTATGGCGATGGACTGAAGTGGCCTCCCCCACCTGAGAGTGCAGCGAGGAATAAGGAAAGGAAATTACATATTGTGTGAGGATGTGGGGCAGTGAGGAAGTGCAAATCCCTGTTCTCTCATTAATTTCGATATTCTGCAGAGAGACCTGCAGTAGCATTAAATACAATACTTCTGGTAGCTTTTAAATGATAGGTCGGTCAATAACAAGTGAATTACAAATTCACACAACACTCAAAAGTAATTCAGGAACAACTTACGTCCTACAGGAGACAATTAAAAATGACAGGTAGAACTCTGCATTAGGGATAAAATATTAAAATTAATTTAGTGCTTACTGCAAGCTTTTAAGTGCTTTAAAAGGTGAAAGAGAGAGAAACAAATATATTAAATAAACATAGAGTGCTTGAAAATCCCAACTGGCAGAAGGCAGACCAGTTGACAACTTACACAGTACAGCCGAGGAATTGGACTCAGGGTGACTGAGAACAAAGCCAATATTGAGCAGAGTGCAAGACTTGAACTTGAGACCATCAGATTTACAAGTCCAGCTCCCTAACCACTCGGCCACACTATCTTGTAAAAGGTAGATGTAGACATTCGCAAATTAACAAATAGATTCCTTGTTGCTGTGCATCTCAGTGAGTTTTCAGTAATGTATCACAGATGATGTCAAATGTGGTAAAAAAGTAAAATGTTGTTAATAGTGACATTATGTATGCATCTATCATCTAATAGATCATAAATAAGAACCAATGAAAATGCATGTACAATTCAGCTTCTTTTATAATGACCTATTTTTCACTTAGAATATCACCTCTTATAAAAACATAAATTAATGAATCATAAAAATATTTTAAGCGTCAGTGGTCTGCTCAATTTGACTGTTGAAGTCTATTGTACCCAGGCATCAGTCAGAGAAAAAAAAAGAGAAATGCAGATGAACCTGTATCTTCCCTTATCGTAGGCAATGGTAGGGGTGACCGCTTGATACAAGTGATGTGGGTAATAATTATCTGTCTTAACTGTCCAAAGAAGAGGGATAGTCTGCATTGCGATGAGTACTAACATTTTTGACCATAGAATAAATTTTATTTGAGAAACAATTCCTAGTTTTATTTTAGTGGTTCTGCCCTAAGTGACACATTTAATACAAGTGGAATACAAAACAAACAGGCCCATGGGACTTAGTCAAGGGTGACCATAACTGCCTTATAGAGGTGAAAATTACAGTACAAAAAGGCAAGCAATTTCAGGGCTTTGACAACTGACTGCTTAATACAGTGCCACTTGATTCAGGTTCGACTGTAATATTACTGACAGTAATTTGATTTTATTACTTCATTGACATATAAAATTTACACAAAAACTAAATACATTTTAATTAATGTAGCTCCATTTTCTGCCTTTAAAAGCACACACAMAACCCACAATTCCTCTATTCGCTCCGACGAAGGGCTAACACTCGAAACGTCAGCTTTTGTAATCATTACGGTGGCCAATTTACCATTTCAACTTTGATGATATGTATATCCAAATTATTTTATAATTACCAGTTTGTTATTGAACGAGATATTGCCAGGATCTTGTAAAGAAATTGGGGAATTCCCTTATTACTGTGAAGAATTGCAAGATGGTCTCAATTTCGACACCTTAATCCAAATGATTGTTATCCAGTCATGAACAACAATAACCTGTTTTTCCCACCTGAATCTTCCTCATGTAATCTACCCCTGCTCATAGATCATAGTGCTCTAGGCTGCAGCCATATTAGCAGCCACGGCAACTACAAATAAATTTTGGGCAGTGTAAGGTACCAATTTTGCAAGCTCTGATTGGCAGTGATGTAGCAAGTTGTACATTTTTACAACTTTGTTATGAGATAATCATTTTTAATGAATGAATTATTAACCTCATGTTTCAATGTTTTCTTCTATAAACCATTCTGCCAATTCTAAGTGGTGTGGTCAACAGTTAAGTACAAATTTAATGATTATTGCCATGAGTGTCTACCTATAATTTGAAGTCACCAAGTGGAGACTTTGAAAGAAGTTGAGCTTGGAGCCCTAAGCTTAAGAAATATCTACTGTATTGATTTCCGCTAGTTTCTCCCTGATTCAAAGTTAGATTACAATTCTTATTAAAGTCTCTTTTATTTGTTACCCAATTTTGCAAAAACCTATTACTTTAATTTATAATTAGCTGAAAATGCTGGACTTAAAATTGATAGTTAAGGTGATGTTTTTAACCCGACTAAACAAATGCATTTTAATTGATTAGTGTTCTTCATCAATGACTCTCTTCACCATTTCCAAAGCCATCTCTCCACTATCTGATGGCACCATGTGACCAGCTTTCATGATGTAGTAAAGCTCTAAGTTCTTGTAAGCTTTGTAAAATGCTGCTGTATCTCTGTCCACCTTACCTGAGGGTGTATAAAGTGGTACTCGATTGGTGTTCAGAAACTCTTGTAAATCATCCCAGTCAAGCTTCTGAATCCACAATTCTGCTCCAAGCGTGTCGCAGATCATGTCTAACTGGCCTTGATAAACAACAACCTTTATGCCATAATTCAAAAGTTTGCTAACATCATCTATGACTGGTTTCATGAAATCTTCAGTTTGGTACACAAAGACTTCACCAGACTGTCCACCCCAGGTGACGTTGGATGGTATTATACCCAGCTTCTTCCTGATGGGGCCATTCATGAGCTCCGTCAGAGGGTCAGTGTAGAGACGACCCACGTGCTGAGCATACAAGCGATCAAGGAAATCATTTCCGAGAGATTGAAACTTTGAAGGAGGTGGGGCATGGTGTATCAGGATATTGTAAACATCAACATCATCTGTTGTTGCTGAAATGATTTGTTCCGTCTGGTCCCAGAGTTCAGTGGCCTTTGAGTATTTACCATCAGCAACAGCTTTAGCAGTAGCCTGAGCAGCTTGATCAACAGATGCCAGATCTTTTCCATCAAGTAGGTTCACAGCATACAGGTAAGGCCCCCAGGTCAACACAGAATCCACAGGTGAAATCCAAGAATCACCCAGAGCAACCCCTCTAAAGTCACATTTAACGCTTCCACTTTGAATAGCTTGGTACAGCGCCACACCAAATGCAGAGGTCATCTTTCCTCCATAGGATTCACAGAAGATGTAAACTGGTATTTGCTGGAAAACAGGTTGTTTTTCCAGGAAGGCTTTAAAAAGAGTGACAAGGTCATTTGCAATACCTGTGGGAAGTGAAAAGGCAAATACAAATGAAAAATTTTAATCCCCTTTAATGCAAAATTTCATTGCAAGAGATACAATCTGATTGCCTTGAAGGAATAAACTTGTCAGGTAGGTCAAGCTGGGTGAAGGCCTAAGGAGTTAGTCAACATCTAAACTGCATCTTTTATGCTACTGCTGCTACTGCTACTGCTACTGCTGCTGCTGGCTTTGCGGGCTAGGATGTTTATAATCTAAACTATTAACATCCTTACCAACAAAAATTTCATGGATGACTGATTCAACAAAACCTATGGCCTCAACCTTTTCAAAGAATCAGCTTGTCAAAAACTGCTTGAGCTGGCCACAACAAACCAACACTTCCAATTTGATGGTCAGTTATTTGAACAATTTGATGATGAAAATAAACTTTTCATAAACTAAAACAGTCTTTTCTGTTTAACAAATAGACTCCATTATGCAGTAATAGACAGCAAATGATGTCAAAATGTCGTAAAAAATTTAAAAAGTTGCACTTGAGATGCAGTTGAGTTTGTCACTGATATTGTTGCCACAATTATTTTGATTTCTTCTGTGATTTAACAATTGGTTCATACGTCAGTGTGCGTTCATCGAGATATGAAACACACGGGAAGTTTGGAGAGCATGAAAGATGCGCAAGAGTAGCTCGAGGTGTAGCCAAGAGCAACTCTTGCCTAGCTTCTTGAGTGCCCTCCAAGCTTCCCAAGTGCTTCATATATCGATGAATGCACAGCTGACATATGAACCAATTGTTTTGTAACATTTTCAATGCTGTACTTTGTGTATAAAGGGCAGAAATTCCCCTCTCCTACACTTCAATACATTGTTTATTATTTTTGTTTCAGGAAAGTATTTCCCCATGCTTCAATGATCTTGTCTCCGATTGGTAAAAAACTGACAGGTGAATTCATGTGTGGAAATGAAGTTAGAGTTCCGAAACGAGATGAAACCATTGATTGCTTTGTTTTCCCTTTCTCTAAGTTCTTTCTTGGGAGTTAAAAAATCCATTCCCGAAGAAAAAGTAGGCAGATCTTCATTGGCTTGTTTGCTTGTTGCCATGTCTAGTTTAACTTTTCTGTGGAAGTTTTTCCTATTTTTTAATGAAACATGCTGAAGTCACTCCCGACAAAATTTTTTTTTCATGAGGCATTTGTTTGCTGACATCACCCAGCATGCACAAAAGAAAAAACTGAAGTACACTCGCACTATTGAATTCGATTGCAAGAATTTACAAGCTATGTTACAATTTCTACTGAACAGACCCACTGTAACATGTGAACTATTCATTTTACAAGATAAAAAAGGAAAATGCTGTTAACCCTTTAACTCCCAGAAGTGATAAACATAGAACTTCTCCCTGTAATGCTCCAGACATTATTCAACAAAGGGGTAATGAGAATACTTAATTGAACTTATCAGGTAGAAGTTGTTCTCTTGATCTTGCACCAAATTCTTATAACTTATTTACAGGGAGAGGGGAGAATAATTGTTGATTGGATCTTGGGATTTAAAGGTTTTAATGGCTATGTGATCTATGCATAGATCATAAGCAAGAACAAATAAAAATGCATGTATAACGATTCAGCTTATCTGACCAAATATAAATATAAAATGGAAAAACCGTGAAAATAATTCCTTACTTCATTACTAGCCTGAGCCAATCTTTACTTCAGAGACCCTTCTACTAAACTAATGAAAAAGTCTGCCCTCGCTATCTAAAGGTCAGCACCGACAAATAACAAAATAAAGTTAACTAATCA